AAGCTTGTGCAGCTGGAGAAACGATGGATACCCAAACTAGAGGGTTACAGTTTGTACATTCGCCCCACTATGATTGGGACGCGGCCCGGTAAGTAGACGTCATCCGGCGGCAGAAACTCGGCACCTTATTAGGACTTCTAGCGATTGGGGTAGCGGCGTCGACGCACGCGTGCCTATACGTCATATGCTCACCTACTGGGCCATACTTTCCGACTGGGTACAAGCCCATCAGTCTATGGGCTGAACAAGACGCAGTTCGCTCTTGGCCAGGAGGAACTGGCGCATATAAGGTGTGATGCATTTTAAATAATAGCTAAACCAACTGATCCGGTGTTATGTTAGCTTGGGATCAACTATGCGCCGTGTTTCAAACCTCAGCGAGAGGCGGCAAAGAAAGGATACCAGCAGATCCTTTGGATTTTGGGTGAAAACCAGTACGCAAAGATATTATTGATGTAACGCATATAGCTGACTGTTAGATACAGGCAGATCACCGAAGCTGGTCAAATGAACTTTTTCGTGGTATTCAAAAGAGAGGACGGTGGTATGTTGCTAGCTTTGCTAAGTTGTTCTAATACAGCCCTAAAACCCTTGAGTAGGTTTTGACGCAATCACGCCCGCACTAGACGGAACAATCCTTCCTGGCGTCACTCGTGATTCGGTGCTTGGTCTTATCAACTCGGTCTCGTCTCCTATCACCAACTTTATTGCTGCGCACTCACTCCGATCAGAGGAGCGCACAGTTACACTTCACGAAGTCAAAGAGATGGCAAGAAGAGGCCGGCTCGTGGAAGCGTTTGGAGTCGGAACAGCCGCAATCATATGTCCTATTGGGCGAATTGGATATCAAGACAAGTCGGCCGGTACAGACACTGTAGCGGAGATCGAGGTACCAGTATACAAAAGCGGTCTGGGACCGGTTGCGAGCGTGTTGCTGGAGAGCATTGTAGCGATCCAAGAAGGGAGGATGGAATTTGAAGGATGGAGTGCACCGTGCGCATAGTAGCCACACGGTGATTCTTGTATTCTAAATATAGGCCAATGCGAACTCTTTTACGATTCAGCCAAAGTGGAACATAAGCCATGTCGTTCCGACATGGAAACCGTCAGTAAGATATATGCGCGTCATATATTCGTATAAAAATTCGTGGCACTTCTGTAGTACATGGGGATTCTAGAGTTTTGTGCTACGTTTGAATCCTCAGCTCGCAGCGAAATAGCCATACAACTCCTACAATATGGAAGCCTGTGATCGGTCTTAAGCCATGAATATCCTTCAGTAGGACTACGGAAAATGAATCGACTTCTTCCAAACAGGAGGGAGGGGACCTCAAATTTGCCCTATTTTTAGTGAGGTGCCGAGCGCTGAGCTGAAAAAGGTCTATCCAATATCCATTCTCTGCTAGACTTCCGAGAGCGGGTCACGTGACCATCCCGCATACAATCACGGGCATCTCCTCCTCCACAGACTGCATCTCCTTATAAAAACAGGTTTGAAAAATGCACAGTAGATACAATAGACCGTTAATCGTCAATTTCAGTGTTTTTTCATGAATTTTGCGGTGCAAAGTGGGAATTTTTGACATGTGCTTGATTGGCGGCTGGGATTTCGAAACCGCGAGTTTTCGAGCGGTTGGGCCAAGTTCGAGAGACGTAAAAGGAAGGCTCCAGCTGGGAATTGAACCCAGGACCGCATCCAATTATGTAAGCGCAGGTTCAATTCCCTGCTCACGGGTTTAACTCCCGAAGGACAAATCATACTACTCGACCACTGAGGCTTGACCATTGCCAATACCTTGAACTTTCACATTCCGTATGCCCATGACTCTGCAATACTGCAAGCAGGTAATTCGATTTCATGTTGTGCCTTCGAACTGGCGCATCTAGTGTCTTTTCATATGCAAGCAGTGTGACCATATGCTCAAGGTCAAGTACACAAGGGTCGGAGAAGCGATTTGTTAACACAACTAGATATTCTACATTTGTAAACGAGCTGGTTTCCAGGAGAGAACTAATACGGTTGAAAGGTACTTTACGCTGTGATATAATGTTATTCGGTGATGCCAGTGGGAGAGTGTGGTATTACTGGGTCGGACATATTAGGGTCTCATACGTTGCCGCTGGTTATCGGTTCCCAGTAAGTCAGCATCATCTCTAATCCCTGATACCTGTAGAGCTTATAAATGCTGACAATGAACATCATCATACCCTTTAAGTTGTACTAGTGATGAACAGGGAAACGATCTCGCATTCACTGTTTTTACAAGGACCAGGTATAACGCGTAGCTGATTGTCTGACGGTCATCCCAATTTACACCTACTCGCACCTACTCTGAGAGCTCGACAATCCAAGCGAGAGCAAGCTGCATGATGTTAGTTAATTTCATCACTGTATGCGTCGAGAAACTGACCTTGACAAACTTGCTGGCCTTGGTAAAATCGAGCCTATCGATTGTGTCCGACGCGGTGTGGTAGTACGGATTCAAGTACGTGTCAGACGGGCCAGACTCGTCGATCGACACAGACGGGTAGCCCTGGTTATACCACGAGACTGCGAGAGCGTGAGCCGAAGGCTAAAGTTACCAACGAAAGTATGGCCGCTCACAGTGATCAGAGCACGCGTAGCCGCATTTGTTCGTATAGAGCGACGCCTCAGGGACATAAGACGAAATGACCTTTTGACTAAACGACTGAAGCGAAGCATCTGTATCGGTGAGAACCGTTAAGACGGGCTTGGACGTCGGCTGGTACGCAACCATGTCAAACTGGAGCATTGCACGAACGGCCCTAAAGATTTGTATTAGTCATAAATTGAGTATATGCGTGCTTGTCAGAAACTTACCTGCCAGCAGACTTGTACTGCTTTGCAACCGTGGCGCTACCGAGCATACCACCCTCTTCACCGCCATAAGCATGGAATTCGATCGGACGCGAGCCCGACCAGCCATTGGCCTTGAGGATTTGCAAAGCCTGAAGGAGGATGGCGATACCAGAGGCGTCTAAAGCGGAATGAGGCACGGCTTAATACAAGAACAAGATACGTACCATCGTCCGCACCAGGGGCACGTGCAGTAGTACTGCCGCCAACGGTTGAATCAATGTGTGCACCTGATCCACGTCAGTGTTGAATGGATTCGACATCACATTGTACGCACCTAAGATGATAACATCGGTCAAAGTCGAGCCTGACTTTGCCGGAATAGTCGCAATGACGTTCGGCTGATTGAACGAGTTGGCAATCGTCTTGACGTTTGCGGAACCAGCGACATTAGCGAATTGGGTCTGGATCCAGGTCGAACCAGCAGCCGCATTCGTACTCTTGTAGTAGCGAGTAGTGTAGCTAGAGAGCGTAGACACGGTGCTCGAGAGACCAGAAGCAGAAATAGAGTTGAACATGGTCGTCAAAGCCGGGTACTGTCATCAAACATGAGCTCAATGTCTAATTAAATAAAACCGTCCTACCTTGGACGGCGTCGGCGTAGGATACGTCGCGCGAGCCTCGAGATCATGAGACTCGCGGCGGACAAACTCCATGCCAGTAATGTCAAGGAAGCCGGGGCCACGAAGGGTGTGGTTTCCAAGCCTGTAGATGATCGTGTCGGAGACGCCTGCGAGTTCGGGGTGAATGGTACGCAGAGCGTCCGCGCCTTTGGTCAGATCGACAGAGTGAGACTCGCGCAAAAGAGCGATAGCCGCAGTAGGAACCCATTCAGCCTGGTTGTCGCCTGGGCCATACTGAAACGGTGGTTAGCCACAAATGGAATAATTAGCGCTCGACTTACCTTGAGCAAACGCGAGTCCGCGTTCAGGGGACGCACACCCGCGGGGACAACTGCACCCGCAGTAAGCGAGGCGAGAGCAAATGAGCCAATAACGAGTACCGCGAGCATTGTGAGAGACCACAATTGAAAAGAGATTAAGATAGGGGTATTTGTATGGGGACCGTGTGGTGCATCGCCATGTGGAACATCTACGCGGTTAACGTGGAAGCAGTCCGCACGCTTGTGATCGAGAACGATTTCCTCCACCAGTGCCAAGTCTCTGCATGCTACACAAGTCCGATTTACCTCGTCGAAGTTCAGAGTCATGTGGAATCGCGACACGTGACCGCGAATAAGTCTACCCAAGCCGGCGCTCATTCCCCAATTTGGGTCAGCATTTGCTGCTAAGCGGAGATGACCTCGCTTGTTATCTTGCGCAGCATTTGTGCATACAAAGGAACTCTGCTGCCGCATTATAAATGTCTCTTGGAACGGAAAGTAAACATTCCTGGGCCATCGTGTTCGGAATACCAACATTCGCGCACTGGCATGCTGGCCGACCACTCCCCGGACTGTCTCGGCGCCTTCCTAACCGAGCGACCACCCAACGTATGTCAATTGGTTGATGAGCAAGTCGGCATCCATTAGTTTTATGGGCGAGGGGTGCCCAGACCTACGTTTCTATATTTGTCAACCCCGAAGCCGCGTAGCTTTACTGCACCTTAGCATCTAACCGACCGCCATTCCCCCGGTTACGGCAGAGCCTTCTTCCCTGCTACGCACTTGCTACCTTCCAGCCCCCTACGTATGATGCCCCGTCGAGTCGAGTAACCTGTATCCTTGAATTCGTGTGAAAGCTTAATTGCACGTTGAGCGTAGTAATCTGGCTGAAGCGATAAACGTGAATGGATTAGACACCAGCAAATATGATAGTGGTATAAGGATGAGGGTAAAGCTAGCGATACAGGCTTCGTGGTTGACACACCGTCAGTCATACAATAAATATTACGACACTCAAGCAAGCCAAATTAGGTATAAAATCAAACCATCTGGTAAATTGAGAAGAGTTGGTTAAGAGACACCACCAAAGGGGAGCGCGATTAGTCAAGACTTACACAATACCCATGTTCTAAGAGCTTACGCGCCGACTGATCCTTCGCACGCCGATGGGATACCCCATAGCCAATAACACTTGGCTCGTTCCACAGAATGTTTGGACCGTAGACTGTGGTAGGATTAAGTTAGGTGTTAGAGGCCGTAGGAATTTAGGTGCACATACCAATAGGTGTCGCATATTGAATGGTCCCTCGGGAGGTACGTGATTCTGAAAACCTCCAGCGTACATTTAACGCGTTGGCATCGATCTGGGCTTGCTGGAACAGCAATTGACTCGCATGTTCTCGGGCTTCATCTCGTGATGGAGCCCACGCGCTGCACTCCTGATGCGCCCTTCCTTTGCAGTCAGGAACTAATCGCACGAGAAAATCATGTTAGATGCCATTTGTGCTACATTCGCGAAATGATAACAAAACTTACATTTCGGAATCGCGTAGAACCCTGCGCGCGGGTCGTCTTCGTTCACAGGTCCAATCTTCCAATCGACTGGTTGAACCTGAACAAACTGAGCCCAGTTGTTGATCTCTTCCAGATAGGAATTAACATTGGAGCTGAGCGTGTAACAGCGCGAGAACTCGTATCGTATCATGCGGGATCCGTTGATAGGCATACCGTCACAAAGAGTGGCTTGTCCTCGACTCGAGATCTCGTGGTATTTAAACCAGGGCAAACTAACAGTGCTTAGCATTATTCATTTCAAGCGGTGATTCGAATCTTCATTCGCACCATGACGCAGGTGAAGGTCTGTCACGCCTCTTGTCTTCGTGAAATAATCTCTCATAGCTTGTACGCCACCAAGTGAAAACCTCGTTCCCAAAGCCATTTCATTTAGTCGGACGTAAACAAAGAACGCTGGACTATTCGACAGAAATCCAAATTATGACACCAACCAAGCCCCAAGCACCGCAGACACTGGCTTGCCGAGTTATAGAGGCTTGCACAACTCTACCAAAAGGCCATCCGACAGGCAGATTGCAAGGCCGTGTCTGGGCAGTCAAGGCGCATAGCAAAACCATCCAGACGAAGCAATAACGTTTGTTCCGCCACCCCAAGCACAGTACTAGTAGGATAAGTCCTGAGATTTAAACCCGCATATTTTTGGCCAGTCTGCATTCCTGTAAATAAAGGTGGTTTTTACCGAGTGGCGTTGTCGTCGATGAGAAACGAGATAGAGAACGAGCAAAACCAGAAATCGCCCAGCCAGAGATTCAGGATTTAGGGTAAATCCGCGGGCAAAATTCGTACAGGAAAGGCACTTTAGTTGGCGGGAGTTGGCTTGAAGAGTGTAATACTACCAGCAGCGCAATAGCAGAGAAAATTGTGTCTGTGCTTCAACTAGGGCAAAGCTGGATTTTACACACTGTGAGAATATTCTCCGAAATTTAGAAGGCATTTTCCAGTTCTCAGTGGTTCCAGGGCAGTGAAACAAAAACATAGAGCGATGGTTGGCGACCACAGGCAACATCCGCAAGTCAGGTGAAGGTTACCCACACTAATTTGTAATACGGTACACGTCGCGACCGACCACAACCTTCGCCTCTCACTCTCTTGGACCACTCATTTACCACCTAGTCTTTCACATTGCATGCAAGAATCTGTCGTAGTAAACATGTCAAATTCTTATGGTGCTCTGACGTCTAGCAAATACTCGGTTATCCTGCCAACCTACAATGAACGAAAGAACCTCCCTGTAATTGTCTGGCTCTTGGCAAAGACGTTCACAGAACAGTATGTCTCAGCTCTAGGATATCGCTGCTACCATCCAAATAATCTATACCAGTCAGATCTCTTGGGAAATCATTATTGTTGACGACGCATCTCCGGACGGAACGCAGGACGTTGCGCGACAGTTGCAAAAGGTTTATGGGGAAGACCATGTAGTGAGTACATTAGCATTGAGA